TTTTTGTGTGAACTACAATACGTACACCTGAATGTATGTATGTCTGTGTATGTATGAGTGCCATTCCGAAACGGACACAGAGTAGAATTTTTCCTCCCACTAGCATCAAACATCACTAAATATAACCAAACATAAACTGACATAAATTGATTCAAAATTTTAAAAAATAAATTAGTTTGTCTGACAATCGCAAGGACGTGAAATCCAGGGTCACAAGCTCACATCCACACATCTAAGTATGTTAGTTCTATCACTGATATCGAGCGCTTTCCAATAAGTACCGCGCATATATATATATATATATATATGAACATATTGTCAACTATAACAAACAATGAATATCTATTATGTTTAATCATGAGCCGTTCTAAATTTCGTATGGTTACTTTAATTTCGAGTGAAAATAAAGATAAAAATTGTCCAATATTTGGATATTTTTTATTAAGCTGTTCATTGATCTAAGCTTTCGGCTCACATGAGCCATTTTCAGAGTATGTGAAAATATCGAAACTTGAATGAATTGACACTTTCTTTGAGAATCAACACGAGCGAGTACAGAAAATGTTTTCCTAAACCAAGGAATATGAACTCAAATTTAACAAAATAATTTAAAGCACATCTACTTTCAAATAATGTCTTTTGCAGAGATTAAATGTCCTGATATTATTTGACGGAAGGTGATCTAGAATTGTGTCGGAATATGAATTCTCTCAAAAGTTTACTATTTCAAAGTCTCCTATCGAAGTAGGGTTTAGGGTTAAACAGTAAAAGTATATAAAGTAATGTGCCTTTCGCCTTCATGAATAAGTTGAGTAAAGTAGCCATTTTATGTATGTGTGATTAGCAACCACAGGAGTTTTCTTGGTTTGATTGAAGCAATTTACTATTTAAGCGAGAATATTTTGTTTAATAACACAGCACATCTACTTCAGAGCAGCAAAACCGAAAACACATCTGAGAAGGAGGGCACAACATTAAGAAGCTACAAAAAGAAACTACTAGAAAAACTGTCTAAATGTAACTATAGTTGAAAAGAAGCGCTAACCTCAGGCACCAAAATTTGACTGCTCAAAATCTTCGAATAATGCAAAGTCAGTTTACTGTTTTTAGCATTTCAGAGAACAGTTGCCACATTTTTAATGTGACTGCGTAGATTATTCCAGTAGATAAATAGAAAAAAAATCTGAATCGACATTTATGATCCGGGTGAATGCTAAACAGCAGATATTTTCACTAAAGGTTTATATATATATATATATATACATCCGTATAAATCAATGAACTACGCAAGAATTTTCTCAATAACCACTGAGAAACAGTTCGATTAACTCCATGGCGCACTTCCAATATTGCTTTTTAGCATTTTGTTCTTTCAGGTTTCAATCTGTCATGGTCTTTACTCCCACACACCGGATATTATTTTCTTTCCGTAAAGATGTCCTTTTTTTATCATTTGACGTATTCTATCAACTTACTATGACATAAATGCAACACTTGATCGTAGAATTATCTAAAATCAATGACAGAAAACTGAAATAATGAATTTGTTTTGTTGCTTCATTTTTCCTGGGCGCCACAAACTACGCAGAAGTATTAGGTTATAGTCGAAAGAAGATGACAAAATTATTTTTATTGCTTAATCGAGTAAGCCGGCGGAAGTTGTCAAATGGTAGTGATGAAGCTGAAAAAAAAAATCGATAAACGATCATATATATATATATATATATATATATATATATATAAAATGAAGCAGAGTTGACTGAAGGCTGATACAAGAATGTACACATTAACGATTTCTACGATTTTGAAAAAGACATTTTAGTGGCTTTATTCAAACAATGGAGTGATCAATGATATGGCAAATATTATTGATTCGAAAGCAAATATTGAAACGCCATATTCAGGAAATGATTAACAACTAACATTATTTAACCCATCAATATTATTGTAACCCATTATTCTAACCCATCAATATTATTCTAACCCATTATCTTAATCTATCAATATTCCCCTGTTAATCATAAACCTCTCGTTGTGCAATAAATTTTCTTAAAATGAAGAAAATAATCATCTTTGAAATCTTGTATTCTCCTAAAATAATAGCAAATCAATTTTTGGCTTTCTTATCACGGCAATTTTTGTTGCACTTTTTTTTTATTTTCAATTGCCTTCACGATTAAAGAAAAAACTTCAATAGAAATATTCGTTTTGTTGGGTCATCAAGTAAATGAAATGAAGATAATCTTAACAAAAATAAAATTTTTAATTTCGTACGATATCAAAATATTATCAAACATTTGATCTTTTAATAAAGTGAAACGTATATGACGCGAGATTTTTAAATTAAGATTCGTTTAGAGAATTCTTTTCAAGCCAAACGTTTGTTTTTAAATGATATGCCGTTTATTTCATCGTTTAAGTTCTGCTCGGAAATAATCCCAGTCATATTTGGTTTCCTTTATCCAAATTTGATTTCTTAAACATACATTTTAATATTAAATAAGTATGCAGGTCTGACATATTTTCTACAAAGAAGAGTTAAGCAAAAGGCGAAACGGTCCAGAAATCATTTTGCTAAAAAGTGAAAAGTAAAATTCATGTAGCATCAAAATTTAGATTTTATTTTGTCGATTAATGTAAATCAAAAATATCAAAAGTTTGTCGTAAAAACTTTTTAAAATGATTTTATATGAAATTTCATAAAAAACGAATCGAATTTTTTATTGTAATTAAAAAATATGCAATGAACAAAAAACTAATGTTTAAAAGCCAATGTGCATCATTCGTGATATGGTATCTACGAAATCGTCTGATTCGTGCAGTTTTCAAACTTTAACCTTTGAATTAATCAATATTTTATATTGCTAATCGAGACCAAATCATTGCTAACGTGTCATTTTTTTAAAAAAATAAGTTGCGGTGCAAATAAAGTCAAAGTCGAAAGTTATATGTAGAGGTTAATAATAATTTTTAAAAATAATTAAATTTCATTTTACGCATTCTGAAGCAAAACAAAAGTCAAATTGTCTCTTAGGTAAATAACTCCAACTATTTTAATCCGCCAGTCACAAGTTTAAAAAACAAATAATGGTTACAATAAAAACATATAACACTTAGTAAGGAACACACTCACAATTCAGTTGGAACTATTTACAAAACCAACTTGCTAAGCATTGCCTCATGACGAGGCGCCTCAATAAAACGGAAGTATTTTATTGCAAAAAATTGTTTTTGCCGGAAATTGATGTCATCAGTTTACTTAGTATAAATCGCAATTGTTTTATCAACAAGACATAGGAATGTTGAATAAGCCGAAGCGTAAAAATATTTACACCAAACCAGTAAACCATCTTATCAGCTAAAACTCAGTGTGAAATCTCCAAAGCTAGGTGATAATCAAAATTTTATTGAAATCGGAAATATTCTGTCTGAGAGGAAAAAACAATTTATTGATAAATGACCTTCTTGCCAGCAAACAAACATTGATTTCAATTGATAGTACAAAAACCTGAAAATCAGCACTGAATAAAAAAAATAAGCTAAATAAGTGGATGCTTCGTTCAGAAGTAAGTAGAACACAGTTATTTCCCCTGACCAGCTTACAGCCATAAATCTTTCATTCACATATTCGACTAAAGATGAATTATTAAAAAGAAAGTTATCTTATTTGTAATGTTCAATTTTTGTCCTGAAAAAAAAAATCAGAATTTTTTCCGTCATGGCGACTGACTAAATTTTCAAAAATTTTAAGTTATCGCCTCATATCACATTTGTCTCAGGGATGAGACATCCAATTCCATCCAGTTCCACACACACACACACACACACACACACACACACACACACACACACACACACACACGGGGTGCTGAAAAGTTCTCAGACAAACAACTTCCGACCCACTTTTGAAAAGAAAAGCTTCTTGGATCAAAAATATTTCAGAACAACTTTTTCTTTTTTTCTTTTTTAAGTAGAGGGTTACGTTAAGAGGCAGTTTATATAAATAGGAGAGTAAAATAACGTTTAGCTCTAGACTTATACAGGTTAAATTGTAATGATCGGGAAAATATACACTTGGGAGCCAGTTCCACGGGGCAATGATATGCGGGAAGAAGCTTTCTGAGTGGAACTTACTTCTCGACGATGTAATCCAGAGGGAATGTGGGTGGTTTGCTACTATATAAGTGGCATGGCGGGTCCTAGTAGTTCATCCGAGCACTTTTCATAGAAGAATACAGCAGTGAGAGGCTTGACACAATCTACCCGTGTGAGAGAGGTTAGAGGATGAAAAATTATTCGTCACCCACTTTTGAAAACTATCCAGTCTGAAAAATGAGGACTGGGCAGCTCCCGCCCAAATATGGCAACAGTACGCCATTTTCGGCCTGATCTGGGTCTTGTAATGGTAGAGGATAGCATGAGGAGTCCGGTACTTACTGGAGGGCGACCGTTCATCATTAGCGATGAATCGCATGTTCGAGTTCCACTAGAGTTCAGGTGTGAGTTTAAGACCCAATATATATATGTATATATATATATATGTGTGTGTGTGTGTGGTGTGTGTGTGTGTGTGGTGTGTGTGTGTGTATCGAGAGAGAGAGAGAGAGAAAAAGAGAGAGAGAGAGAGATCGGCGAGCCTTAGTTAAAACTGCACATACATATATATCTTCACAGAGATGCACAAATGCTTACACGTATTAAAGAGCGTGGCTCAGTTGAGGTTGTAACTTTTTCAACGGGTTTTTGAACCTTCTCTCGTGGACCATGGGACCCCTAATTCTCATGATTGTATCAACCACCCTCATCAAAATTTGGACCCATGAATCTCTTGATTTGAATCTCTGGAGTTCTATGCCGTTGCGTCATCGAGTGGGAGATTAACCAGCGGCCATACAAAACACGTCGATCGGCTACCATCTTGGATATTATGGCCGACATTTACGAGAATCACTTGAACCGAGCGTACAGTCATACCAGTCGCGCTTTCGAGGCTGTAAAAGGGAATAATATCTATCGATCTATCTATCTATAGCTATATCTATATCTATCTATCTATCTATCTATCTATCTATCTATCTATATACTGATTTGTTTCTATTGAATATCTTTGTCTTTATATTTGTATATCGACGTTGCGTAATGTTTATCAATCTTTTCTCGTTAGATCAATTACGACTACGTAGTGAGTTCAATCCTCTCTGGGAGCTCCATACTTGCGGCCTTGTACTTCATCGAAGCTACACTTAATAAATCAATATATCTGTTCTCAGTTCCCTGCCACACCTTCTCTCTCTCTCTCTCTGTCCGTCTGTCTGTCTCTCTCTCTCTCTCTCTCTCTATATATATATATATATATATATATATATATAAACCTTTAGTGAAAATATCTGCTATTTAGCAGCTTTCTTTTCCAAAGTATTTATTGCTTGAACATTTTATCTGAATTTGCAAATCAAATTAAAGCAGACGATTGCAAAGTGTTGGTCAATCTCTACCGTTTTCTCATCTTTCAATGCGAAATTTAATTTTCGCTAAATCATCGTCAATTAAAGAGAAGAAGCATTAACCCAAACTTTTTCGAAATTCTTTATTCTCGTCTTTTATTCTTTATTCTCGTCTTTTATTCTTTATTCTCGTCTTTTATTACTTCTTATTTTCTCTCTTTCTTTTCTTCCAGATATTCGCGTTGGTTTTCTTTTTGTCCAGCCACAGAAATGTAGTTATCAGGATGATAATAACCCGCCATTTTCAGAAATATCATGTGACTTTGTTGTAGTATTTTAATACTATCATACGCCAGCTGGTTACTGACTATTCTGAGAGACATTTACAATAAGGAGCAAGTAATTGGTATGGACGTGGATGGTAATTAGTTTAGTAACATAATTTACTACAATTGCTGACGAATCATCAACGCCAGTTTCCAGAATTTAGGTGCTTATCTTTTTATATTTTTTTAAGAAGATTTTTTCTTTTAAATATGTGAGCAATTTTTTTATGATTTTCTTGTGTAATACAATCGAACCAAAGCAGCTTTGCAAATATAATTGTAATACAATCGAAACAAAGCAGCTTTTTAATATAATTGTAATGCAATTGTAATACAATCGAACCAAAGCAGCTTTGCAAATATAATTGTAATACAATCGAAACAAAGCAGCTTTTTAATATAATTGTAATGCAATTGTAATACAATCGAAACAAAGCAGCTTTTTATTGTGATACACTTGTAATACAATCAAAACCAAAGCAGCTTAGAAAATATAATTGCAATACAATTGTAATACAATCGAACCAAAACAGCTTTTTTAATATAATTGTAATACAATTGTACCAAAGCAGTTTTTTAATATAATTGTAATACAATTGTAATGCAATTGTACCAAAGCAGCTTTTTAAATATAATTGTAATACAATTGTACCAAAGCAGTTTTTTATATAACTGTAATACAATTGTAATACAATTGTACCAAAGCAGCTTTTTAAATATAATTGTAATACAATTGTAATACAATTGTGCCAAAGCAGGTTTTTAATATAATTGTAATACAATTGTAATACAATTGTACCAAAGCAGCTTTTAAAATATAATTGTAATACAATTGTAATTCAATTGTACGAAAGCAGCTTTTTAAATATAATTGTAATACAATTGTATCAAAGCAGCTTTTTAAATATAATTGTAATACAATTGTAATACAATTGTAATACAATTGTGCCAAAGCAGGTTTTTTAATATAATTGTAATACAATTGTACCAAAGCAGCTTTTTAAATATAATTGTAATACAATTGTAATACAATCGTACCAAATCAGCTTTTTTTTATATAATTGTAATGCAATCGTAATACAATCGAAACAAAGCAGCTTTTTAATATAGTTTTTCAATTCCTAATTTCAGGTTCTTTCTGTATTCATTCGTTTATTTTACATATTCTTATTTTTCAAAGACTTTCTTGAATAATGTACTTTTGTTTTTTTTATTTTCCGCTTCCTTTTCAGAATTAAATATTTCTCTGTACTTTATAAAGAATCTTTATTTTCAAAATATAATGTATTACCGACTTTAAGTCAACAACAATCAGGAATTGTTATTCCGATTTTCTCAGCTGTGCTTGTCATCCGCTAAAATCTTATATTATTATTTATTACCATCAATATTTTGTAATTAGCATCGGTTGATTTGAACTGAAGTTCCAACTGATGTGTTAATATCTCGACCATTGGAAATCTCATAGCCCCTATTGTTATAAATTCACTTTTTGTAATTTCTTGAAATGGAAATCTTTTAAAAGTAAATTTCGGAGGAAAACAAAGCAAAAATAAATTTTAAAACTTTAAAACTAAATAACTGTTAAACTTCATCTAGTCTGACACAGGGCTACCAGTAATGGAGCATCTTGTGAGGATCGTGCTCACACGCAACTGCTTGCAAAACTAACCTGCTCGCCGTCGTTCTTCAGAAACATGACCACATTTAAAACGACAATGTTTCATTAAAGATTAATTGCTGTTGATTTCATTAATATTTCGATGTTTATTTCAATCATTTTCAGCAGCACGGTGTTAGTGAAATTAAAGAAAGACATTTCCGCCTATTTTTATAAGCATCTTTTTCTGCTTTCGATTATTTTCATCAGGTTTATTTATCCTTTATAATAATCAGCTTTCAAATACAAAAAAAAATTCTGTTTTAAAAGAAAAAACCCTTTGGAAATTGTAGGAAAATGATAGAACTTTGAACAGATGTCGAACGGACATTTATCCTGATTGATTATGTAATATAAAAACGTTTTAACATTTCAGCAACCAAAACTACTGACAGAATTTCGTCTCACAAACTAGTCCAGTTGGACGTAAATACTTTCATATGAGTTGACATCAAAAATAAACTTTTTTCAGAGTAAATAGATACTATTACTGTCGTATTTATATCACTTGGAATAGAATAGCAGAACAGCCAGTAATGGTTTCGGCACGGTGGAGTAATGGATAGCGGCTCTGACTGATGAATCGGAGAGCTGGGTTCGAATTCCAGTCGAATCCATTGCATTCACTTACGTGCTAATACCCTTGGGTAAAGGTATGAATCCTCTTCTTCTCCCCTAGCTATGAGTAAACAGCCAGGGTTCTATAGCCTTGGATGGCAACTGGTCTAGGAGAAGGAGAACTCTAAATTCAAAACCTGTGGAGGGTTGTTTGGAGACCTTGTGGCACGTGTTGCACCAACTCTTTGTAATCTGCTCTTCAAAAAGTGTAGCTGCCTTCACCATTATAATCAAATTATATTGCAGGTGTCTAGGTGTCGGTTCCTAGGAACTGAGTTGCTTGACCCACATACGTCGATTAAACGACAAGAGAGTCCAGCAGCTGTTTCTGACTTAATTTAGACGTACAAATTAATATTTTCATGTAATTAATGTCATATTTACAAATAAAAATAGTATTGATGCCATATTTTTTATTTATTACATGATTTATTATTTAACATGTATCACTTTCCTCAGAAAACAGTTCAGTGTTTATTTTGCTCTAAAGTTACAAGGGGGTGCTTAAAAAATATCAGACAGAATTTCTTAGCTGAGGAATTTTAAGCAACCCTTCGCACATGTTTGACAACCTCTTGATCTATACGTAAATGACTCAATAAGTTCGTAACTTCACACAGCTAACTAAATCTTAACTTAAACCATTCCCAGATTCATGTTTGGTCTCTGTGATTAATGAAACAGCATTGAATGAAATGCATTGACAGTGAAGGATATTAAGCTGAAAGTTACGTTTTGTAAAATGTTTTTCATTATTAGACTACGAACTTTCTGAGTTACATGTCAATATATTCATGAGAAGTAATTTGTATGCAAAGAAGAAAAAATACCAAGTAAAAATAAAAACAAAAGTGAAGGAAAATTTTAAGAAAAAACGAAAGAAGAGAAAATAACAAAGAAAACAAAATATAAATGCCAAAAATAAGATTTAAAATAAATCCCATACAAAATGAAATGAACAGGTACTTGAAGCATTCTAAAAGCACGTGTAACTGCAAGGACGTCATTTTTTAGAAACCAGCAAAATGATTTGGTTTCTTTTGTTTAGAAGTACGCTGAAATGAAACCCAAGTCGTTGATTAATGTGACATAGGCGCCGAAAAGGAAAACCCAACAATGGTTGAACTTGTTCCGATTTTTAATGTCATATAAAAGTATCTGCTGAAATAAAAATGTTAAGCAGATAAGGTTTTCAGCTCCATGTTCTACATTCAGAATTGTCCAATGAGACAATAGCCTAGTGGATCAAAGTGTTGGTTCGTGAATTTTATGATATAGTAATTGTGAGTTCAGTCCTTCAGAGTGAGGAGAAATGGGCCGAGCATTAACTGAGCAATACTAAATAAGAACGAGAGGAGATATCCACGAGACATGGTCACGAGAACAATCCACTTCCGTAGATTACATAAAAGGTTCAGTTTGAAATTCCCTTAAGATTACCTGGATCGAAAAGCACCTGATGAATGGCGGAAGGCACAACGATAGTAACGACAAAGATGAAGACAATAGTCCAAGTGCAAACAATTATTACTTGCATGAAAACAGAACTTGTTCTCTTGTTCTCACATGGTACATTCGATACCCTTGGTAAATATCTCATGACAGCACAAGGAACGAGAGAATTGTGGCATAAATGGAATTTTGATTGGAGACATCCGAACCCATAACCTTGCTGCAAATAAACGATTACAACGGTTTCTGCACCATGGAGTATTGAATGATGAATCGGAGAGCCGAGTTTGAATTCCAGTCGAATCCATTTCATTCAATCTTAGGCCACATTTACTCTGAATTATGCTTGAAATGTTAGGCATTTTGCCGCTGTTGCCCTTAATATCAGTGCGGGTGTTTAGAATCTGGTTTCCCAATGTTTTTTTGATCACTTTTGTCAGCAACGACACACTAATGACGCATTACGTCCAACATACAATTCGAAAATGGTCATCCGAAAATACATACATTCGAAATGGCCATCTGGCCACTCGACTACCGACAATTCAAACAGCGCTAATTGAAACAAATGGAACAAGAGTGTCCAT